CTCTTTTAATCAAGAGTAAGTTTGAAAACAACAGTAGGATGCACTTATTACATGCAACTGTTAAATGTTTTGCTGCCATGTAGTTAAATAACTCCATTTATGTCTTGTTTTTGTCTTCAGTCATTAGCTGGGGAAATCAACCAGTTTGGAAAAATCTTCAGAAATAGGAAATATTTGGAAAATTCAGAAGCTCCAGTATGACCATCCCCCATAAAAAGCAGATTTTCCAGCAAAACTGACCCAGGCCTCCAGCAAACTGGTACACCCTTAGCAGGTCTCGAGGGCGTTACTGGTTAAACCACTGGTCACCAACTGGTAGACTCCAATCCCCTTCCAGACCAAAATACAATTTAATCTGGTGCAAGAAATTGATCCCACTGCAGTGGAACTTCATTTTGTGTTGCTGGTGGAATTTGACGCTTAGGGAAGAATAGATGGGGACCTCTGGGCTAAACCATTCATCTGCCAGGAAGGGTGAGTGACATCTTCAAGTGTTGCCAAGACAACACAGAAATAACTGACCATAGGTAGAGAACAAGATCTGTTTCACCTGAATTACTGAGCTCAGTTGCACCAGCAATGATCTATGAATTGCAAAATTGTGTTAAATTGTGTTGTCCAGCGTGGTTCACCTCCAGTTTGAATGTCGGGTCAAGTCAAGTGGACTTTATAGTCATACCATTCATATACAGGCATGCAGTGGGAGGAAACGGTGTCCCATGGGGCCGCAGTGCAACATACAACAGCAAGTGACAAAGGGAGGGGTTTTCATAGGACTTAAAGTGTGAAACAGGGTACAAGACAATAAACACAGCAACATGAAGGAGTGGAAAAATATACAGGATTGAATAATAAATAAATAAGAATAATATAAAGCAGTGGCAGTCGGGGGTGGGGTGGGGGTGGGTATGCTCTGGAATGTTCTCCCTGGGTTACCCGGATTTCCTCCAGGTACTCGAGTTTCCTCCCGCAGTCCTGACACATGTATTTAAGCGAATGTGTCTATGAATTGCTCATACTGTCTGTGCACACCCTGTGGTTTATCGCCATCCCAAAGAACCAGATGTACATATGCATCATGTTCTCAAAGAAAAAGCCAGCTAAATATTTCAGAGAAGAGTGGAAATTGCAACCATTCCACTCCTAGATGGTATAAGTCTTGCTTCTGATTCCCAGCAAACATTTGCATTTAAGTAAAAATACTAGCTAAAAACATGTCACTGTTTACTACAGAATATTTCCCAAACCGTAATCAAATAATTAAGCAATTAACAGATGCAACAAATCTGAAATGAGCACTATTTACAAACCTACAAAAAATATTTCTCAGGAGGGCCATTTTTCAGACTCTTGAGCATAAAATTGAATAATGTGATCATCACAGGGTTTCAGTCACAATCCATCCAGTATAAATAATTTGTTGGTGACTTCATTTTCCGAGTTATTATGATGCACAGGACAAATCTGTCTGCTGCTCAAACTGCTGTAGAGTCCCGTGACTGTCAGCGTAAGGTTTCTGAAAAAGACTGCGTGCAGTAACATATTCAGCAATACACCATCTGCGGGCTGCCATCACGCACTGGGAAAATGATATATGAAGCAAGAGACATAAAATTTCTAACACTCCAAAAAATGGCCCATGAGCTTGGAAATTTTAATGAATCTAACTAAACTTCCAAGGAATTTGGAAGGGGTCACGCTCCCCTTCTTTTGGCAGTCCCTGCTTTCAAGTGTCCAGTAAAGATCTCAACTGTAAGAGTGGCTGTTTAGTTGGCTTCCTGTATTGCACAAAGAAAATGTGACCAGAGAAAGGATCCGGAGGAAACAGACCACCAGAAATCTTCTCTGCCTCTCTCCATGTAAAAGCGAACGAGAGTAATAATGTACTCAGTTACACTTTACTTAAGGGGGCACAAATAATGTAGTAGTACACTCTTATGTAATATATTAATTAACCAGAAACCATGTCTTAGTTACATAATGATCTGATGTTCGTTCATCATGAATCAATCATAACGGTTCATGTATTTCATGTTACTATATTAGTTCATGATTTTTACTTGAGTAGTAACTTGTGCCCTCTCAAGTAAAGTGTTACCATCTGCTCCAACCTTATCCAAACCTGGCCATCGAGAAAACTTCTTAAGTTAGCCATTTGTTAGAAGTTTTTTTTTTTTTTTTTTTCTGCCTGAAATTTCAAAAAAACATGCCGGGCACAGATTTCAGGATCCTGAACCTGAGTGACTGGGACCCCAAAGACAGAAGGAGTGACTTCCAAGGCTTTTCAGTATGTGTGGCTGCATTGCTGGTGACGTGTGAATGTTCTAAGAGTTATATGCCTTTGTGCTGCTTATGGGCTGTTTCCATTTTTAGTTTGTTCTGCTATTTACTAGGTCCGCGGAGGTTGTGCTTCTTAGTGTCACTTGCGGCTGCGAGCCCCTTGGAAACCCTTTCCCTGAGAAGATTCACCAGTTTTGGTAAATGGTGTCAGGCCACAGCCTGCAGTACACTTTATTTGAGAAGGAAGGCTACCCAAAATGTTGTGATGAAAGGTTAGGTGTATAAACAGAATCCTAGTGAAATAAGATGTTAAAAATGTCTCCCTGTAATTCTTCCTTCTTCATTTTATCTGTATCTAGAGATTGATTAGACACAATATACTTCTTTAACAATTAGCAAACGTGAGTGGATTTACAACTGGAATCGTAATACAGTGGAGCAGTACATACAGTCGTGACCAAAAGTTTACATTCACCTTAGTGAAATACATTCAACTTCCATTCATATATCATTTACTGTTTAATATTCAACATTCAATGCATTTCTATAATAATGTCAATCAATCTCTTTTATTTCCATGACTGATTTCAACAGCTCTTTCATTTTCAATGGTTTTATTCACAGTTCAGTTCATGAAGTTACAAAATTAGTAGGCCAAAAGTTTACATACACCAGGTGCTTTTTCGTGTTTGCAACAGTGTGGATCATCCCCAAATGGTTTTCATGTGTATCCTAATGATTCGTGATTGCAATTAATTTGTAATAGTTCAGGTGGTGCAATCAGGGCTGTATAAAGGGCCAGAGTTACCTGCTCATTTCTACTTGATCCAACATGGGAAAAGGAAAAGAACCTAAGACCTAAGAACAACAATAATGCAGAAGTCGGGAAACTCCCTAGGTGCCATAGGCAGGGAACTAGGAGAACCGAGGTCATCCGTCCAGAGATATCAAAAGTGTGGGACAGCAAAGACCCTTAGAAGATCGAGCCGGAAGTCTAAATTGACGCCAACCAATGAGAGGGCATTGGTTCAGAAGATCTGCTTCAATCCCATGATGACAAAGAAACAAGTATGCCAAGAATTGAAGGCTTCAGGAATCAATGTCTCACTGTCCACAGTCCAGAGGGTCCTACATCGTAATGGGCTAAGGGACTGCAGAGCATGAAGAAAGCCCCTTCTTCAAGAACGCCACCTTAAGGCGAGGCTGGAATGTGCAAAAAAGCACAAGGATAAAGATAAAGGCTTCTGGGTGTGTGTTCTCTGGTCTGATGAAACGAGGATGGAACATTTTGGCTTTAATGACCAACAGTACGTTTGGCGACAAAAAGGAGAGGCCCTCAACCCAAAGGACATAGAACATGGATCCCAAAGAACACTGTGAAGCATAATGGTGGCAGCATCATGCTGTGGGGCTGTTTTGCTGCTAGTGGTCCAGGAGCACTGTGTAAGATAGATGGCCACGGAGAAGGAGGATTACCTGGACATACTTCAGGGGAACCTGAAGCAGTCTGCTCGAAAGTTGGGCCTTGGACGTCGTTGGACCTTTAAACAAAACAACGACCCAAAGCATTCCCCCAAGTTGGTCACAGGATGGCTTTGGCAGAACAAAATCGATGTTTTGGAATAGCCAGCTCGAACCCTGGATTTAAATCCTATAGAGAATTTGTGGAATGAACTTAAGAAAAAAGTCCACAAAAGGAAACCCACCAATTTGAATGAACTGTACAACTTCTGACAGGAGGAATGGGTGAGAATCCTGTCTGAGTATTGTAAAAGCTAACTGATGGTTATCCTGCAAGACTGACTGCAGCTGTAAATGCTAATGGCAATACAACAAAGTATTAGATGATACGAGGTTGGGGTGAATGTAAACTTTAGACCCACTAATTTTGTAACTTCAGTAATTGCATTGTAAATAAAACCATTGAAAGTGAAAGAGTTGTAATCATTCATGGAAATAAAGAAGATTGGTTGAAATTATTGTAGGAATGCACTGAATGATGAATATTAAGCAGGAAATTATATGTTGAGCATATTACACTCAGGTGTATGTAAATTTCTGGGCACAAATCATTCATTCAAATTAAAATTTTACCAGCCAACAGACATTGAGGATAATTGTGAGCAATGAGTAAATGAGCAAGTTGTGCTGAAGTTGTTTCTTCAAAAAAAAAACAAAAAAAAAACAACAACAAAAAACAGATTTTCAAAGCTTTTTGATGTAGAAACAGTATGTTTTGGGGGGGGGGGTTAATGGTGTTTTTGGATCACACTGCATAATAGGTATGAGGCATGCATTAAAGAAATCTATGAAAAGAATTCAGTTACTGATATGAGTCACAACCGACGGGACGAAGGGCACAGGCAACACAAAGGTACGATGTCAATGACCTGCTTGGGGAACACAGGACTGGGGAACACAGGACTGGGAAGCATTTATATATGGGAGCTAATGAGAGGCATCTGGGAGTGATTACCACAAGGGTCAGGAATGAGAGGTAAGACAAACGAGTAACAGGCGTGGCTTCTTAGGGTCACGCTAGGGGGGAGACAGGAGGGTCATTTGGATGTGGAGGGTAGGACGTGACAATACCAAAATAAAACAAGGAGCAGGGATTCTTGAATTCTCTGCCAAAATACAGAATGTAATACTAGCCATGATATGACTTATTTTCCATTTTGGAAAAAGATTGGAGAAATAAGTAAAACCAAATAACTCACCGTTGCAGTGCTGATATTCTGTGCACCAGCCAGTACATGGCAGTCTGCTTTCATCAGCTCGGACATCAGCACTGGGCCTGTCAAGCAAACCATCACTCAGCACTGGCTTCGCAAAAGCAAACACACTTTAACTGCATTAACGATACATAACCCTTTCCCTTTCACTGCATTAACGATACATAACCCTTTCCCTTTCACTGCATTAACGATACATAACCCTTTCNACTGCATTAACGATACATAACCCTTTCCCTTTCACTGCATTAACGATACATAACCCTTTCCCTTTCACTGCATTAACGATACATAACCCTTTCTTTTTCACCATTTTTAAAACAAAAAAACAATTGTGCCTTTGATTTAATTTATGGCAGAAAACTAAACAAGTATAACTGATTAAACTGATTAATTACATACTATACAGGATATTGTACATCCATGTGTATTTCGTAGCTACTTTCATGGAAGCAAAGCACCTAAGACCAGAAAATGACCACAAAGCTATATTATTCATATAATGTAGAGCGTTATTCTCCTCTGAGGACTGATTTAGAGATGAGGGTGTGTGGGAGAGGAAATCTCCTAAATTTGAATTTCACTTTATCCTTTATTTAGCCAGTCAAGAGGATCATTGTTTAACAGAGAGCACGCTTATCTGAGAGAGGTTATTGGAAACATAAAACCGATTAATTTTAATGTGAAGCTGACGTGAAAAGAATGCATATTCACATTAATATAGTAATGTTGAAACAATTGCTTGTAATGAGATGTGTTATTTTACTTTGCAACTTTTATTTTTACTTATTTACTGCTCATTCACTCCACACATAAGCCCCAGACAGCAGAGCTTTGAATTCTGAATTATGTATGTGACTTTTCTGGCATCTCAAAACAAAAACAGAGAGAGAAGAGGAAAATTACCCTAAAATACGGGAATGGATGCGAATATTTGTATACATGTGTAATGATGACTTATGTGCGTTAGAGGATGCTCATTCCATCTCTTCCAGTTTCCTTCTTTGGGATGCAGTTCTAAGTAACTTAACATTTATATTTACTAAGCAGAGGCTTTCCTCCCCAAGGCGACATGCAGTTGCGAAATCAGGATCAGCCAGTGTATGGTTTAATTCGGGGTTAAGGGCTGTGCTCATGGCTTCAATGGGGAAGTGACTCTGCCGACTGAACCTGCTGAGTCACGCATCATCATGTGTGGAATGTAATGAAATGGACGCAGATATGAATGTTATTGTTTTATGTTCAATCTGTTGCTACGGCGACAGCAACCTAAACAACACAGTAGACCTAGGCTATTGATATACTATACAGTGAATAATACCCACTTCCCTTTCCCCTCTAACTCTGACCCTCCCTTTCGTCCACCACCCACTGAAGAGGCTCGGGCTCCACCCCTTCCTGCATTTCCTCAGTCCCTCCAACAATTGGCAGATTTGTTCATCTGACAGATCTTAGGCAAATGTCATAGCCTGGCATAATGACTAGCCATGCTCAAACATTGCTGGGTGCATCTCTCAATATTCTAAATATAAATCAGCTTTTCACTGTAAGGGACGTACATTATAAAGGCTGAATAAGGAGGGGGCTTCGTTTTTCACTTCACACTGGACACTTTCACACATGGGAGACTGTGGCCTTCGCTGCCAAGCTCCTGTGCTGCGGGACACCCTGCCCGATGATGTAAAAACTGTCTCAAGGTTTTTAAGACGGTAGCCCTTTAATTAAAGCAGTCATCATGATGCATTATACATACCTTCATAAGGCATTAAATGGTCAGTATAAGCCATTATAATGCATTAAGTTATTTATAGTGCATTATAGATGAGAGCTTCATGATGCATAATACACATGGCTGTAATGTATTACGCCTTTTTAAAAATAGTTATAGCCGTGTTTATAATGCTTTATAAATGTATTATAACGCATTATGAATGTATCTATATTGCATTATACAAGAGTGCTTTAAGAAAATTGTTACCAAAGAGACTCAAGACCCACTTATTTAGATCGTATTGACTTTAGAGGCGCACAAATAATATACTATTATGTTTTTATTTATCTAGTTAATATTATTATTACTATTGCCTCTAGCCTCTATTTTATTCCTTCACTGGTTTCTGTGTTGTTTTACTGCCTGCTTAATCTTATCATTAATTTACTTTTACCAGCAATTTCTCCTTTTTTTTTACTGTAGCATACTGGGTGTGAGAAATGCATGTTACAAATAAAACGTATAATTACTATTATCATTATCCTGCTATATGAAAACTGACCATCTGACTGAGCATCGCAGAGTGGGAGCCCCCTGCCCAGTTCTTATTGTGGTCAGAATTAGCTAAATTTTGTAACCATGTGTAATTGGATGGCAATCTAGCAAATCCCCAGAAAGAAATGCAACATAACACACACATTGCTCACATTTAAACCTCAAACAAATGGAGAAAATAAACAAAATAAACAGAAATGCGGGTCAGTTATAATATAAAAAACCAGTCATCCTAGTACAAAATCAGCAAACAAGATCATTCATTAGGCTCTATTTTATGAATAAAGTTACTTCATAGTGGCATGAAGTATATTTTCTAGGTTTTAAGCAGATTTTTTTTTTCATTGAAAAAAGTATAGAATGTGTGCCGGTGTAAATTTGGACTGATATCTCTGGGGTGTGAATAATGTAAGCAAGGCAGTCTTGGAGGTGACAGGCAGACAAAGTAGAGAAAAGTGAGGTTAGTTCTACTGAAAAGGTGGCAGGGATGCAGCTACAGTGTCTTGGCACCGGCAGAGGATGTTAGGGAAAGAATTACAGCACAGACACACAGAGTGGGCACAGTAGAAACGCAGTTTATTTGACCACACCATACAAAAGAGCAGCCACATACAAGCATGTCATGGCAACTGGTGATGAGAGGAAGAGATACTCAAAGAGATTATAATAGCAAGAGAGGGTGGAAACATTAAAATACATTGCAGGTTACAAAAATACAGATCTCAATTAAAGTCAGAGCAGGATTTAATTTCTCTTTAACACACACAAAAAAAATATTACTGAAGCTTCAACCCCACGTCTCAAACCAAAGCAAAATTATGGCCAGTCTGCGATTATGAAAACTGTATAAAAATAATCCGATTATCAGTACAGAGACAACAGATCTGTGGGCCTGCTATGCTTATGCGAAAATGCTAAATTTCAGCACATCAAAATGATGCAATATATAAATATCCCCCCCGTAAACTCAATAGCAATTTGAGAAATGATGGCACTGAAAGACTGACTATTTTTGGCACTGGAATATAGACAACTTATAAATTAATACTGTATATACTAAGTTATTAAATTTTTTAATTCTAATATATATTTTTAATAATTGCAGTAATTATCCAAAATATCAATAATGGATGTGTGCAGTTCTTGGTAGGCATCCTAGCAATATCTTCCAGAACATCATTCAGTAACCCTACTCCTGCCTTACGTGCAGGGTAAGCATGAGTTTCTCAAGTAAAACGCTGACAGCCATAACACTGACTGAAAACATACCTAAAAAACCTCGAAAATTATGGCAAACCAAAGGTCACATGTCAGTCCATTGAAATCAACAAGCTAGTGACTTTATCTTCAGAGAAAAAGTGTCACTGACCCAATATATTAATTCATTCTTCATTAACATCACATACCAGGGAGTTCAACATTCTCTAAGAAATAGTCTCATTCAAGGTGTAAGCAAAAATGTACTTCCCCAAACAGTCTCTCTGCTTGAAATGCATGTTTAAAATGCATCAAAAATATAAGTCAACTGCTTTTGCACATTACTACACCTACTACACAGGGATAATGTAATAGCAACAGAGATAGTCTTTTATCTCCATTTAAAAGCAAATATTATCACTTATGTTTCAAAACGTCATATTTGTATTTTTGGAACAGCAGGTCTTGATTAAAACAGAATTTGACGCAAACAGCTCTATGCTACATAGATAAAGAGCTGAGATGAACGTCTTATATACCTACCAGGGTCTCAGCTAAAGTCTAACTTATATTTTTGCCCTAATGTATATTTTATGAATTGGCACCAAATTTCTCGTTGTGGAGTTTCTCTTGGCTTTGTAGCAGATACGGATGTTAGCAGAATTATCTGCTGCATTTAAGTGTTTTCAGTTCAGTTTTCAGAAAGATCGGTGGGGACATTAATACTGCAGAAGCTAAGTGACTCTGCCTGCATTTTGATAAATCCTTCGCCTGTGATTCACAGAAACGTCTGCTGTGCCAGTTCAGATTTCTATCCTGAATAATTATCACTGATTCTGCAAAACCGATCATGCTGGACTGGCAGTATTTTTTATCAACACTCAGATTTAAGGAGAACGACTGACAGCAGCTAACAAGACAAAGTGCAGGATAAAGCCTTGGGTTACTCATCCCTGTATATGTTCCTCTTTAAAATGGCTTTGTTTCAATAAACTTACTTTTAACTTTTATTTCTTTCATCTGTTTTCCTAGATCATTTTCATGTCGAGTGTGCTAATATTGCTGATTTACACGTATTATATATTTAATATGAGTGTATATAAATATAAATGTCACATCAAACAAAGGTCTGCTCACCTTTGAAAGTTTAAGCCGTTACACATAAAAAGTTCCCTGCAGATTTCACCAGATTTACTATGAAAAAGTTCATTCTGAAAACAGAACTGAAGAGATGCTGTAAACAGAGTAAAACCCCTTTCATGTCATGTCATCCGCATTGAATGTGCTTTAATATATATAGAGTTTTCCTGCGACACCTGTTTCAAAGAGCAGCAAAGCGCAAGGTCCCCCAATAGTAGCACCGTGATAAGTTGCCATGTAAACCAGAACCAAGTGGCTCACTTCAGTTACAGAGAAACGGCAGTGACTGTTTTACATGTTTGAAGGATACCATTTTTATGTATTTCATTTATGCACTCGTACATTTTAAATATAAGTCTGGATATCATATATTTTAACATTCCGGCGAAGAAGTCTGAGATTAATTATACTTATACCCTAAACTTCTTCACGAATGAGATTAGAAAAATTAAAATACTGGACATGCAACTGAAGATTTATCAAAAATTAATGTACTAGAAATTTGTCATGAATATAATGCCCTTATAATTGAAAATGCTGCTAATAAAGAACAACTTACAAAATTGAAATAAACATCTTCTACTAATACACTGTTAAAAAGGCACAGATGGACAACAGAATATCCTGTGCTTTATATATCCTATGTACATTAAAAGCTTTCTATTGTAAAACATCATTTTGGTGGAAAAGAAATCTTTTTTTTTTTCTGGAATATTTTGTTTTCTAAGTTCACTTTTGAAAATCAGAAAATGACCGTCACCAAGCTCGCTAGATTGCTTGGCAGGTCCACACTGCAATAAGGCCACTGGACAAATGGTGAGTGTGAATATGAAAGGCAATGCATGCAGGACTTCAAGTCTGAAGGTTAACCACCAGGGACCACTGCACATGCGAGTTGGAATTTATGCCGTAAAATCATATATGACATGTTGATTTTCTAAATATCCAAACTTTAGTCTTCTTCATTTGCATCTAATCAGGATATATCATTCTTCGTTCTGCATCGTTATGTCTACGACTTTATAAAAGTCTTTCCTGCGAAAATGTATATTTTGTTGCTATTTTTATTTAGGTTCAGTTTCTTACGTATATTAGCTTCAGCTCACTGCTCTCCCTGACCCCTTACCATGCAGTTATGGTTGGAGAAATAATGCAGCCATTCATCTTTCTGAAGACAGTGTCAGCTGAGAGAGGGAGAGAGGCGTCGAGGTCACAGAATTGATGTGCATACAGTTAGTAACGGGGTGGGAGTCGGGGATAAGAAAAGCCGCGATGGATGTGCTCCAGGTGTGAAAAGGTCACATAGTAGTGCAGCAGTGGCACCGGGGTTTCTTGTGAATACCTGGGGTTGGGAGTTCCTTGTCCGAACTTTCGTCCTTGCCTTCAGATGACGGTTCGGTCGTGTCCGACAGCGGCTGACCGGAAACCAGGTCTGCCGCGTTGCCGTCCATGGTGGAGATGTCGGTGACCGTCTTCTCTCGAAGGGACTTCTCATCGTCGTCATCGATCAGCACGATTTCTGCCTTAATTGTGCCATTGAAGCCAAGCAGCTTCTTTGTCTCCTCCTCATCCTCCACGTTATGGTAGCCCATGAATAACATAGTGACGGGCTTCTCTGACGAGGCCACGGGCATCTCCGTCACTTCGTCTTTATATTCGTATCTGCTCTGATTGGCTGCCTGCTTGCCTTGTGAGCCAGGCATCATCTGCAGCTTGGCTTCTTTGTGCACCTGTGCCTCTTTCTTCCCCAGACCCCCATTGCTTGCATCAGTATCTGGGTCAGGAGAAGTGATCATCAGCCTGCTTGCGGCCTCATGACCGTGAGGCTGGTTAACAAGCTGCAATATTTGATCTACCTCTGAAGAGGTCAGTGTGTGGAGGCCGTTCTCCACGGCGGGAGGTTGCCCTGATTGCACCTCATACACCACCTTGCAGCCGTCGTCAAAGACCTTAACACCCCTGTGTTGGGCTCCTTGCGGACTCACAGCCGAGGCCGAGAGTATCACGGTGTCTCCAGTTTTCCTGTCTTTTTGTACGTAGATTTCCATGGCGCAAACTGGGTAAATTGGGGGGNATAAATTGGGGGGGGGGGGGGGCGGAGAATCAGGGATTTGGGGCAGGGTGTGAAAACACCAAAGAGACGAAGAGCATGGAGCTGACTGGGGCTGGGGGGGGGGGATGACAAGATTTTATTCTGTTATTACAACTGTGATAAATATTTATTCCCTAGTAAGTTTATTCCTCGTTGTTGGCAGCTACAACAATGACATTAGGGATGTCTCTTTTAGTGACATTTCAGTTTTTATCCTGAACCTGCATTTGAAGACACTAAATTTAAGCCCAAAACTTTTTACTCAACTGTTGTCACCCACAAACTCTCTGGTATTTGTTTATTTAACGTGCATCACAGACACAAAAACATGATCAGTACCCAATGTAATCCACAACTACAGTGCGTATCGTGTTCCCAGTGTCCAGTCTAACTACAAACCATCAATAGTAGTGCATTAAGGTGCTATAGGGCACAGAAATACAAATATTTATTGAAATTAGCACATTTTAAATTACAATTGACGATTGATAGTGAAATGTAAACTAAGTACAAATGCCATAATTTATAAAAGCAAAATGTATTACAAAGTAATTTCAGCATCTAAAATGAAACCACATACCTAACAATATTTTTAATTTATCTTCAGCAGTAATCCTCTGGAATACTGATAAGATAACCCTGACCCCAACTCCCTCAACCTTCCACACCTACCGGGTCTCTTTGAAAGCTTCTTATACTCAAGAGCAGGAGGTTGTGTTTGCGGGGGCGATTCCAGGAGGTCAGGAATTTGGGAAGGGATGTGATTCTCCGCCTCTGCTGGGTAGAAAACATAAGAGGAAATGACACTCTGTACTGAAACACTGCAATCCCCCCCCCCCCACACACAAACACCTGCCATTTCTCTGTTTCTTTTTTCCTCAGGCAACTCGATGCTTAGCAAAGCAAAACCGGTGACTGAGTATTAGAGAAAACAATAAGCGCTTCAGTTCGTGGGATCCACCCTGAATAGATCATTGTGGACAAAATGCAGAGTCATTGGCTTCTTATTGGAGTTCAGTCATCTAGCTGAGGCAGGAGGAAAACGATCCAAGAGAGCGGTATGCAGCAAAAAGGAGTCCACTAGTTTACAAACATTAAGGGTTAAGGGTTCGAGCAAATCTGTGTCAGAAAAAAAGGATCGAACTGCCAGATAAATGAACTGACAGAATCAAGAGACACTGCAAAGAGGAAACAGGAAAATCAATGCTTTTTAAGTAGGAAAACTAATTTATTTATTTATTTTTAATCAATCAGTACATTCTAAGCAAAAGGATGTTCTAGACTAGAGTATCTGTTACTAGTTAACATTGCATTAGAACAAATCTCTCCAATTCATGCCTTTTCCTAAACAGAACTTTAGCTTTCACAGTGAAGGAGGTCTTACAGAGGCTTATCAAAATACGATGTATTATTAAGTATACGCATCAATGCAAATTGATTTATACTAAGATAAAATTGAAACATTTTTGCAATGTTAGCCAGCTTGATTTCATTATTTACACTCTTAGAATGGTTCAAGCTAGCCTGTCTGAATAAAAAAGATAAGATAGTAATCACAGACATTGTAATTGCAAATTCCTTGATGATCTTAAATATAATGTTCTGCAGAAAGGTGTTGCCCATACCTCTGTCTTGTTCTTGAGGACTCTATAAATAGAAAAAAAATAATCCAGAGTTCATTAATCTAGAAATACACCTTTTCACCGAAGCATATATCATATAACCATCCACCCATCCATCCATCAATCCATCCATCCATCCATCCATTTTCTATAACTATTTGCCCTATTTAAGGTTGTGGGGGGTCTGGAGCCTATCCCGGAGCCTACGGGAGCAAGGCAGGGAACAACCCAGGATGGGGCACCAACCCATCACAGGGCACACTCACACACCATTCACACCTACAGGTAATTTGGTAAGTCAAGGTCACCTTAGCATGTTTTTAGACTGCGGGGGGAAACCCTATGACAACATGCGGAGACAAGGTGGCTCTGCAGCTCATACATGCAGTCACCTCTGCACCTTCAGGGTCGGTGGTTTGAATCCTACATCCACCCTGTATGTTTGGAGTTGCACAGGTTTCTCCCGCAATCCATGACATGCATTTCGCTGAACTGGCATCTCTCAATGTGCCCTATGTGTGTGTGCGTTTGTGTGCCCTGTGATGGACTGGCATCCTGTCCAGGGTTTTCCCTTTCCTTATGGCCTATGCTGCCTGGAATAGGCCGTAGAACCCCCCCCCCCAACCACCACCACACACAGACACACACACACACACAACCCTGGGTAAGTGGTTGGCAGATATTCAATGGGACGACATTAAATGATTAATTCCATGAAGCATTTTCATTTAGTTCACTTAAATGATCAGATTACTCACGTTTTGCCAATCCACACCAGACCCCTGAATTTTTCTCAGCCTTTCTCTGAGTGCTAGTTCTTTGGCAGAAATCTCAGATTCTTCATTCTTCAACTGATCAATCTCGTTCTCTAGTCTGCAGAAATACAAGAAGGTTACTCCTAATGTGCAAATACATCATTAGAATTGAAGCCATATATGGAGTGATGTGTTGTTGAGTCCAGCTGATGTATGCATGTATGTTATGACACTCTGAGCATCTGCTGAACCACCTAACACTCTCTGACTCTTCAAAACAACAGGCGTCATGTCCATAAACCTGTCGCATACACCGATCAGCCACAACATGAAAACCACCTGCCTAATATTGTGTAGGTCCCCCTCGTGCTGCCAAAACAGCTCTGACACACACCCGACTGTCCACATCATGTAACAGAGAACACAACTCATCAGACCAGGCCACCTACTTCCATTGCTCCATGGTCCAGTTCTGACGCTCACTCGCCCATTGTAGGCCTTTTTCACCGTAGGCAGGGTCAGCGTGGGGACTCTGACCGGTCTATGGCTATGCAGCCCCATACACAGCAGGCTGCGATGCACTGTATGTTCTGACACCTTTCTATGACAGCCCGCATTAACTTTTTCAGCAATTTGCACTACACTTTCCTGTGGGATTGCACCAGACTTCTCAAAGTCACTCAGAGCTAAAGCTTGATCATTTTTCCTGCTTCCAGCACATCAACTTCAGGAACTGACTGGTCACTTGTCTAATATATACTGGCACACATTTGATGAGATAACTTTATTCAATTCACCTGCCTGTGGTTTTAACATTATGGTTAATCGGGTGTGAGTAGCTTTCTCAACACAGCTGTGATGAGTTTATATATAGTAGTCACATAATAGAAATATGTGTTCTTCATGTGTATGACATGAAGCAAACTAACCCCCATATTAGAAATGCTGTAATCAAGAAATACTGGACAAATTAATAACTGGACACAACAATTCCCAACACACACAGCTTGCAAACTACATTACTGCTTCCCATAGCCGTTTTACCCAAAGGCATGCGAGCAACGGAAATGAAATGGTTTGTTTGTCTTTGTGCCTTCCACGAGTGAAACACATTTATATAATATCAAACCCCCCCCCCCCCTATACTTCTCATGTAGCAAAAAGTTGCCCAAAAATCTGTTTGTATTATTCCTAAACACTATGTCGAATCAGGAAACTCATCACTGGGGAACCAGAAGGTCTCTTCCCTTCCTCATTTCCTGACATTGTTTTGATTATTAACATTCCACAAATAACAATGGGCTGAATAAAATTTGCCTATACAACTACGATTATGATTCATCCATGTTACATATTGTATAGGACTAAACAAACACTGACATTGAATAGTATTAAGTGATTTTAAAAAGTTATATCATCAATCAATTTATTTTTGAAAGAAAAGATGAAATTATTTAACCACTGTACAGATCTTACAAAACCATCTTCACAGTTTGAAAAATGACATTGTATTGAGTATCTGCTGATTTCACTGAGAATTTAATGACAATAGGGCTGCATGGTGTCTCAGTGAGTAGCGATCGGTGTCAGTTTGCATGTCCTGCCAATGAGTTTCCTTTGGAGGCTTCAGCTTCCTGTCACAGCACAAAGACGTGCAGCTGGCATCCTTACGATGCCCACATTGTGTGCAGGTGCTGTACATGAGATCTCATGCACTGTCCTTCTGTCCATTGTCCTTTCCTATATGACGCCTGGGATAGACCCCTTACAAGCCCATATTGCACAGATGAATGCAGTAACACTAATTTATCCATCCATCCATCCATCCATCTTCTATAGCTATTTAACCTATGCAGGGTCACAGAGGTCCAGGGCACCAGCTCATCACAGGGCACACACACACACACACACACACACACACACAGGTTTGTAATTATATCTTTGTGGGGACTCTCCATTCCATTCCTATGTGGAAAATGGGGGAAACCCATCCCTAACCTTAACCATAAGTAACCAAGCAAAATATGAGACTTTTGGCATTTTTACTTTTTTGATTGCATTCACAGATCTTTGTGGGGATCTGAAAAATGGTCCCCACAATGTCAAAACAATGATGTAATATAAACCTAATCTCACACACATACACAAACAAACACACACACAGGTACTGGGAAGTATTACGAAACTTATTTTGTATATTTTTATAACAATATGAAAAAAATATTATGGTATCAAAAATACTGGCAAATTGTAGACCAGGAAGATTCTAGTCTATTGGGTTAAAATTTGAGATAAAGAAATAACAGGAGTGCATGAGAAATTTAGTATTTTCATATCTTAAATATATCAAATTCAACATTATTCTTCACATGCTCTAAGTACACAGCACTGCTAAAATGGAATTTTGGAAGCGAAGTGAGCAGAAACATTTCCATACTGCCATCTAGTGGTATAACCCTTAAGCATACAGAATATCTACCACATGCAGACTTGGTTTTGTTGTTAGGTGACATCACTGTAACAATCAAATCATTTAGTCCCTGTTTATTATTATATGGGCAGAGTGGTGGCTCTGAGGCTAGGGATCTATGCCAGTAACTGGAAGGCTGTTGGTTCAAACCCAGTGAATGCCCAGGGTGATTCTACTCCGTTGGGCCCTTGAGAAAGACCCTTAACCTGCAATTGCATCATCCTGGGTATGATGTTAATCTACATCCAGCCCTATAAGGAGGTCCTCCAACTTACAGGGAATAATTGGGGGGTTGGTGGCAGAATTGGCACTCCAGCCACTGGAAAAAAACTCACACTGGTCCATTCGGACTATTGTGGCGCTGAGGTATCACCCGCCACATGCCTGCACTCAGGTTCTCATCCCTGAGGTGGTTTGTCATGTGGTGAGTGCGGCAATGCACTGTAATCAATCAATCAATCAATCTATTGACTGAAGCTTGGTACTGCAGTCAACATAAACAAATAGCAAAGAATGCTTTAAAATACAAAACACTCAAACAAACAAGCTAGAGAGTGAATTACAAACCAGCGTTGAGAATCTTCATCTGTGATTAAAGACTGCACAAATTATGCATGTGGATTTTTTAAATACAAAAATATTTAAAATCATTTAATTCTCAAAATTGGTTGACATCCTCAGTCAGCAGGGGGCACCATACTAATATTACATCTATTTTCCTCAAGCGAGTTATCCAACATTGGGTGGTAGCAAGTCTAGATGCTATCTCCGGAAGTTCATGGTACAATCTGGCCAGGATACCTGATTCCCACAGGGTGCACATACACAAAGCTGTTTAGAAGCAACAATGTATTCAATGATTTTATTTTTTTTTTAATTGGAAAAAATTTCTAACAAGCTGGCAATATATAACAGCCATAGCTGTCATGTTAAGTTTCATGGTGTCACATGACCCACGGATTGTCTACTTTCTAGCATGTTAGCTGGGAACCCAGCAGTAAAGAGTATGCCACACCCAAGCAAAAACAAAGAAGTTGGGGTCAAAGTAGGTCCTCGACTTACAAAGCCCACACAGAGATCAATGCCATACCATCAAGACCAAAGACAAAACTCACAAGAAGCAGAAAACAAACCAAATCCCAGAGTCTTCAGGAGTGTAAACATCAAGAAAAGGGCCATGACCACAAACCTCACAGGCTAGGTTAGGTGAGGTTAGTTTAGCTTAGGTAGGTAAGTAAGCAGACAACCCCAAGACATTTTCAGTCATTTTGCAAGGTGACACTTAACTGCACACTTAACCAGATAAAGGTACAGACACTAATCAATAACTATGCAATTAAATAACAGACAGGTGAACTGGAATATATGAGTGTGATTTTGCCCCCAGTCCAAGACAGGGTTTGTGTAAGGTTATTTATTATAGGTTTCATGTAGTTACAAGCCATATCCTAAACCTTAATTTCAGTAATCTAACAATTCTGAGAATTTTAAATGTATAGTTATAAAACTACATTCAATGATTTTCTAATTATATTTAGCAGGTTTTTTTAATTTTTTTTTCTTAAGGTTCTGAAATGGATATGGATTGTCTCATTAGTGTTATGTTTGAAGTCCATCTCCAAGTCCTTTAAATGGGTGAAATTTTGGATTGCTTATTCTATAAAAAAAAATGTAACCAAAGCATATCATTTTAAGTCACTTGCATTATACGCATCTCACTTCTCTTTACTGTTCCCAGACCTGTAAGCCATGCCTCATATGGAGGTTGTGTCAGTTAATATTTTTTTTAGGTGTGTACTTCAGGTTATGCCATCTTGAGAATATTGAAGAGGGGGGTGTTCCACACAGCAAGATTTTTTGCTTAGCCGTATAACTAGTCGGATTTAAAGTAATCTGAGCTAAATGGGCATTATCTTTATTCACTAACATTTAGCCCAGATGAAAATCCGCTTAGTTATCCCGCAAAGCAAGAAATCCTGCTTCACGGAACAACCCCAGTTGCCAAAGCAACAAGAGTTCATTCCACAAATGATTACATATTTGGGCATGTATAGAGGTCATGTTTGTGTGACATATATAAATGTTGTATACTTTGTATACAACATCCATCCATCTTCGATACCCGCTTCTCTGGAAATCTAAATAAAATAAATACACCCTAAGACAGTAATATAAATAGCTTCTGGCTTTTCACAGTCAAATTTCCTGCAGCTGTTTGACACATAACAGACAGAAGTTACTAATAATTTAAGGGTAATATGGGGTAATATAGATAACGGAAGCTGTAAATATTATCATTGGTTTTGGAACGTTTTCATGCGCTTCTGCATTGTTAGCAATTTCCCAAATTGAGGCTAGTATTTATTCACTTATCTACTTGATTTATTTTAAAACAGCTGCTAGGTTAGGGATATCAGACTATCTTTAAAATTGCTGAAGAAAATTCCTTCCTCATGTCCCAACGACGCATTCGTGACAAGCTTAGTAAACCCTTTCAATCATTTTCAGAAGTACTTCTTCACATCTACAGCAATCCGTGGCGTTCTACCAATATCCTTCACAGTAAAGGAGCTTCATTTTTATTGCATCCTTTAACTTCTATCGTAAGGTTATATAATATATTTTTTTCAGTTTCTTATTTCTGTACCTGCGTTGCAAACTGGGATCCTTTTCCCTTTTTCATTTTGCCTGCACAGGACACACGTTTTTCTAATTTCCCTTCTATAATTAAATCCGTGCTTTAATATGCTCATGGATAGTACTTAGCTGGTATTAATACTGCATTTTTGTGACAATGTAGGCGATTATTACACAGAAAGGAGCAGACTACTCACGGCACTTTATCGTTGGTAGACGGCCATTTAAAAACTACCGGTTTCAAATAATCGCATTTTTTTTTGTGAACAAGGAATAACACAATTTCATTTAAATGAACACGAAGCAACATAAAAACGCAAATTAAGCGGACGTATAAAATCAACCTAATACGCGAATACAGCTGCTGCCTCAGCATATCAGATACAGCAGACTAGGTGATAAATTCAATTCACCATTCCAGCTGCAAAATTAAATGCACGTGTAAATACTACTGTGCATACTGTGATCTTGTGGTGCGGCTTTGTAACATAAAACAAAAGAAGTCTACAGACGGGAATATTGCTTATTAATAGATTCAGGTGCACAAAATGATTGTAGTTTTATTTCATCAGCACTTTCCATATATCCCCAATTCACCGGGAAGCCCCCTTTTAATGCCCACGGCTTCATGTAATGGAAAAAAAAAATCCCCACGGCATACAGTACATAGCATATAAAACAGACTTACAGATTCGGTCGGTTTTAGGCAGGATCCGAGACTGTAGAGCCAGCAGCGTTTCCCGGAAAACATGCATCATTTTATCGTCCCCCGTTTTCCTGGAAGCTTTTAGGGTGCAGCCATCAGATCCCAGTTTTAAAGATACAACGAAGACAACACCGGACTAAAGGCGAATTTAAATCCGCTGCATTTTTCTTTCTGAAAGCGAGAAATTTGTAGTCACGATCTTTTATTCTAGTCACTCCACTGACCAAAATTTTCTAGACTATAGGGCTATTATGGGCAAATGATTGCATAGTAAGGACTGCCACGTACGTTATCCCATGCCTGCTCTCCATAGCGTTGCAAATTATTTCTTCTCTATTTCAAGATTTAAATAATTCAATTCATCGACTAAATCCGTTATGTGTGAGTTGATCTTGTAATACAGTATTAGGTATGTATAATGCTTAATTAATCGCAACAGCATTATACAGTATGCGTGTAGTACGTTTTATTTTTGTTACCCTTTATTCAGTCTGTTCCCCCTTCTCAATGACTATAATTTAGGAATAGTTTACCACTACTTAGTTTATAAGTAGGCCGTGGGAAAGATTTCACTACCCAGGAATCTGGGTGAATGGTCCAAAATGATGTCACTGCGCCTTTTTTGGAAGCGTCTCTGAGCCTCTTTGCAATACAGACACCCGTTATTTAAGATAACACTACTTAACGCTCCACAGTTAGTGCAGTTATCGCAGCCAATGTGGGAAGGCTAAACAGAGAGCTGTCTATCTTTGTACAACAGCTATCCTAAATATAGGCTAATTTATGATGGCATTCAAATATTAGTATAATTTGATAACAAGCAGCCATAAAACGCACACTGCTATTCGCTATTGCTGTTACTACCGTTTCACTTTTACTACTACAGTAGTAGGAATCCTGTAGCTGGTATAGCGATTCTGTGCTAGTTTAAATAAAGTACAGTATATGTTGTTTTACAGGCATTGAGTTAGCATCTTTCACAAGTTATGACTCTATTGCTCATGCAGAATGTGCAGATAGGATGTGCAGAGTGAGTGACTGATGGCAACACACACTGCTTGGACTGCAAGGCTGTCTCATTCCATAGCACTGACATTACAGAAGAAGTTAGAATGTCTGCACCACCGCAAGCAGGTGCCGTACATCCATAGGTGACATATGTGTTCAGACTTCATGCCATGTCAGGATGTCTTCCAGATCAATGAAGACATTAAACTCAAAAAGACGTTGATGTTCCATCACAGGGGACTTAATTAAAGACTCGAGCTTCACATTATAGGCATACTTAAAGCATTTCTTCTTTCTTTTGCAGAATATTACTTACTGACAGGTCAGAATAATGTTGTCTATGCACTGGGCTACAAATTCATCACTGCAGGCCGGTTAGACTGCTGAAACTACCAGAGCATTATGCATGTAAAACCTTCTCTGGATAGATCAGACCCCTAAGCAAACCTTTCTCATGAACAAATGTGTTATATATGATATTTCAAGTAGTCACTTATTGTAATACTGTAATGTAAAACTAAAATGACACTGTAATAATAAACTATAAAGTTAACCGCTGTCAGCCTCTTGTGCAACACACATAATGTTGTTATGTTCAGGTTATGTGCTCAGGAACCGAGGGGATGAGCACTGAATTGTTTCTGCCACAACATCCCGCCCCCAATAAACCATTATGCACTCGATTTATTACACTAAAACTGAGATGCAAGTACCAGCAGTAAAGAGTAAAAATCGTTTTCTCACAACTATGAATTAAGTCGATTGAATCCAAAACATTTTTACACAAAAGGGGGTGTTAAAAAAAAACCTCTCTTCACTTAACAGAACAATGCAGTGTGGTGTGACCTTTATAAAATGGAAAGAAGACCTTGATTGTAGCATTTGCTGAAAACTTTAAATTTAGAAAAACTGAAGTGGTATAATCCAACATCACTGAAATGTGTTCTTTACTTATGGTCTACAGTGTGCGTTATATATTGACAAACATTATAACAAATATGAGCCATATTACACAATATCTAACAAGTAATGGACACACACACACACACACACACACACATATGTATACTAACCTGTGAATGCCCTCCTCTAGTTCCTTCACTTCTTCCTCATCCTTTTCTATCTGTCTTCGCCGCTCTTCTTCCTCTTCTGTTGCTGCTGATGTCCCCTGAAGAAGCCATCGTTCTCGTTTTGCTTTGGACTTGGGGAGAGTATAAAAACAATCTGAATCAGAGCCCTCGTCGTGTCTGTGGTGCCTCGATGGCTGTTTCTGAACTGTGTTACGCTCTTTGACTTGGGGGACACAGACAAAGCTTTATTGCTTTCGTTTTCTCATATAACTATTTGTTTTTGCAATTAAGTTACTGCATGTACAGTGTTTTCTTTGCAAATATCATAGAGTACAAGAAAACAAGTGATTTGGTGATAGTGGAATTATATTATATATCTGAAATCTGGCAGTCTCCTATCTACTTTACCTAAGCACAAACAAAAAAAACATACTGTAAAAGAAGCATAAAGAAAACATCGCAAATGAAATCCTGCTTCTTCGGATGACTAAACGTTAAGGCACAGAATTAAATTTTTATGTGCTTCAGTAACACTCTTGAAGTTTCCTTTTGCGTCACATTTTCAAAGAACTTTTTTTTTGCTTTATTTAGGATGAGAGCCAAGGATTGCTCTGGGGTCAAGCGATCACTGTTACAAATGAGGTTTCCGATGAGAATAAGGCCTTTGCGCAGTTAATACTAACAGTAAAGCAAACATCACATATCCTGCTATTTGTCTTGCTTTTTGTGCCTAAAACTGCCACTTTCTGAACATTCTTCCTCATTATATATGAATAAAATCCACAACATAGAACATCATCTGAATGTATTATAGTTCTGTTTTCCTATTAGTTTAAATAGTCAAGCAACTGTTTACTGTTGCAAATAATTTATTGTACCAACCAACCAATGTTTTCTTCTGTCTGCCTGAATTCCACTTGCCCAAAGAGAAATTAATTACATCCCAACAAGACTATAGTATAAGAGAATGGAGAAAAATGTTGAAATGAATTAAAACTTTTGTGGTCCTGAAGGTGGCTCAGAGTGAAAAGTATCATGAACTCAAAATTAATATTCTCAATGGTGACAGGACTGTAAAGTATACTGGTAAGTGTCGTTTACATATTACCTTGAGGTGCTGTTGTCGTAATATTAAATCCTCTAATTTTCGTCTTTTCTCTTCGATTTCTGCTTGTCTTTTTCGTTTTAACTGCAAATATTGAAAGAGAAATTGTTATCTCTCATGTTTGTCTGAAGTAGTCTTCAGTTGTGAACATAAATGCATCTTTATAAAATGGCACAGCCAAATGTACTCCAGTCAGAATTGAATTTCCTGTACACCAGGGGTGCCCAACTCCAGTCCTGGGGGGCCGGAGCCCTGCACATTTTTGGGTTTCCCCTCATTAAACACACCTGATTCAACTCCTTGTGCTAATTACCACATAGCTGTAGAGCTGAATCATTTATGGTGGAACAGGGAAAGAACTAAGCTACACAGGGCACCGGCCCCCCAGGACTGGAGTTGGGCACCCCTGCTTTAGACTATAAGTAACTGGCAGGTACACAGTCAGTGCATTCTTCAAAAATGGATAGTGTTAGAGAAATGAAAATCTCATTGACTAATTTAATATCATAACCATTTAATAACATAAAACTACAATCATATATTATCAGTGCATAGCTGACATCAGAATTATAGAATGTATGTGGATCTCTGAAAAGTATGAAGAATATCTTTGTTATGCTGATGTTGAGAATAGAGAGAGCTTGCAGACACATTACAGCAGTAGAATTTCATAATGGCCTGAAATAATCTGGTGGAATATTGACTCATTCGCTCTGATTCTCAATATCAGCACATAGACAAAACCGACACGCTTTTAGGTAACAGGACTTTGGTGGCGGCAGAAGTAACTCCAACAAAGAAACATATATATTTGAAGACAGTCTGCAAGACAAAGGCTGCTTCCGTGGGGAATTTGGGGGAAATAACTGACTTAGAGTTAAAATAAAAAATAGGAATTCAAAAAACTCAAGTTCAGATGTTGAAGAAGGTGATGAAACATGTAAAGGAGAGTTCCCAGATCAAACAACACCAGTAAACATCCAGAACCATCATACAGGTATTGCATGTTTAGTACATATTTAGAAAGGAGGTGAAATCTGCTTTAAGAATTAGATGCTGTTGGACTTGGAAGCCTCAGCTTCGCTTGCCAGTTCCTCTAACATGGCTACATAGAAACCTGTAATTTTGGGAGGGGAAAAAAAAATCAATGGAACATTTAAAAATACAGTTATGGTACCTTCAGTTCAGATCTCTTTTTATTAAAATGAGGTGTTTCCTGCTTCTTTCATCATGAGAAGCCACCTAAAGTTCGCCGCAGCAAGACTGACAAAAACTGTACAGAATTTCGATAGGAGAACTGCAGAGGGAAGAGCCAAAAGGGGAGAGGTGCTATTGTTCATTAGCCGGTTGTATTAGCATCACAAACACAGTGCATTGTAAGGATGTGAGTTCTGCGTGTGTTTAATATATTAAAATAAGTTTAAATGCAAGCTTCCTCTCACCCACCAGACGTTCTCCTAAAACCCCACCGCCCCAAACGGGTAGAGATAGCCAAGACAGCTGATGCTAAAATTAGCTGCAAGTAAAGTTCCCTCCCTAGATCGAGACATATGGGGCTTGAGAGGAGAAGGGGAGGAGCCGCATGGAAGAAGAGGACTGAGGAATTGAAAACATCTGTGTAAATATCTCAGACTACTTCAAGCAGGCATCTAAGAGCTGAGCATGGGTGCCCGCCACTCAGCCCTCTGCAAGTAGCAACCCATGGAGCTTTTCAGTTGTTTCACTGGCAAAGATTGCCATATTAAAATAACAGTGCAGTTGTCAGAATTTTAAAGTGGACAGTTCTTGGAAGTGCTTACTCAACTGAGAAATGTAAATGCAGGCCGGCATGAATTTGCAGTGGAACAAACAAGAAATTCTAGCACACTCATATTAGCATAGTAGCATGCGTGATAAAATGCCTGTGATGTAACGTTATAAATATTGGCCTAGACAGATTAAACAATTTTAGAAGTGCATTCTGCATGTGCTTCACACATTTAACATATTAAATGTGGCGCTTTTATGATGTTATGACGTTACCATGACAATAACAAAGCATTTAATTTAAAAATAACTGGCTCTTAAAACTTGAAAGTACATTTACCGTATTTAATTTGGGAACGTTAAATTCATAGTTTATGTGGCATATTTGTTATATAATGGTGGCATCTCATAAATGTAGTTATCGGAATGATACTTTTTTTGCTTCTGTTTACAGTATAGTTGTAATACTAATAAACCCTGGAAACTGAGACAGTTTTGCCGATATCTGAATTCCGAAACTACACTTTCAATGATTTAAAACAAAAAAATAAAATAGATGAAAGATAAATAATTAAAACTCAAAAGTCAGAGAAACTATTCAACTCCTGGAGGCACACTTTATTAAAAGTGAAGGAAAAGTAGGTGATTTATTCGATTTTACATTCCATAAAATAGCTTCAAGTTTCAAGCTCACTATAAGTCAACATAACTTAGACCTTTAATGACCTCTGGTCTGTGGAAAAAACACAGAAACATAGTAGATGACTATCCTGCTTTCCATCCATCAATAATTGCTTATTCTTAGCTAGAACAAGATTCCCATTAGTACACAACCTATTCATTTAGGGATTTCATGATCAAAGTTATCATGCTGCCCAGAATTCACCCAACGCCAGCCCTAGGGGCTGGAATATATAAAATAAACTACAGAATGAATTTGCAAAACATCTAAAAAAAAAAACCATTTCCTTAATAAACATCTTTATTTTTCATGAACAGACATTTACTTGTCTAGTTTATGTATATGTAGTATAATTGAAATATGTACATTTTCTATAGTTATTTTCTATGGCTAATGTTGCCAAAATAGTTCTTGATTTGCTACCCCGCGCTACTGTGCATAATGCATGATTAACTGGTGCCAAAGTTCATTTTATTGCCACATTCCCTAGTTCGTAACTGTTTGTTCCATGTAAATTCTTAGAATATATGAAAATAGTTTTTGCCACAAGGAACATGTTAATATTTTTACACAAAACTGTCTTTCAGCCATAAAGCCCCTACTGAACATAGAGTGCCGTGTTGTCTACATCAACCATTACATCCATCAGAGTCATGCTCAAGAACCACTGACCGGAGCTACTCCTAGAGAGCCAAAAAGCCTAATGGAAAAGCCAGGAAAGCCACAACTTACTGCAAGGGCTTGGAGCCTCTCCTTCTGTAAATCAGTCTCAGACATCCTGAAAACAAAAGAGCAGAACGGTTTCTCTCAGTGAAATAGGACTCAGGCACGAGCTGCAGGCTTGCTGTGTTTGGACAGAGGAAGGTGATAGAGCAAGCAAAGAGTGCAGTGAGTCACACAGCTGAACGCTGGTCATGTGCGGTAATCCAATCACTGAGGCACTCTGTGTTGGGAAAAGGATTTTTCATTCGCTGGCTGTCTGCCAGCAGCACCGCCCGCGATATTGCAGCTTGAATTCCTCTCTCTCTCTCGCTCTCTTTCTCTCTCTCCCTCCTTCTCTCTCCTTCTCTCCCTCCCTCCCTCGTCCAGTCGCTGGCCATGTATGTACAGAGAACAGTGCCTGTGTCTAGGGGTAGACTGTGATGCTGACATTCTTCACCTTTAGGCTCTGACAGATAAGTCAAGTAGAAATTCCTCCTGGAAAACCAACAAGAACCCAGTACATGTGCAGCTACACGGGAATAAGGAAAAACACTCGAAAAAGCTTTTGCTTGTCCACTGTAATGCTAAAGCAAGGCCACTATTTCAGCTCCTCTGCCAGAGAAACAATATGTTACAATATTCATCTAGATGATTACATTTAAATTTGACACGCATGTTAAGTGCTACATTTTCACCTGATGACAAAAATGTCCATAATATTAACAACAGCAACTTTCAGTTAAACATTCAGTTAAAACACAATGTAACTTCTGTATCTATCATGCACTAGAATACTACAATTTTTTTCCTTTTGAATATCGGTAATAAAGGCTGCAATAACTGGAGGAGAATTATACAGATTAATTTAAAATTAGCTCTAGGCTTGCAGCAAACCCTGCATTACATTTATTATACACTTAACACTGGGAAAATGGACAGATGGATCAATGGATAGAATTACCACCTATTAACAGTATTGCTTAATTACTAGGGAACATCAAGTTATTTACTGAATGGGGTTGCCTTGGAAAACATGACGTGGAATTTGTATCCCCAGGCATGTCTAACCAAGCACTGAGGAAACCGATTCTGGTGCGGGGAAATAGCAGCAAAGTGGAATGGAGTTTATGCGTTTCAGTGCATGGCCTTGTGTCCAAACCCCTTCTGTGCAGCGAAACAAAAACTCCTTACATGGTGAAAAGGCTGCACTAGCAGACAGAAGAGCTATGCTGCTTTGCACTGAAAATCTCAAGAGAATGCCTAAGAATTCCTCGCTCAAGTTAATAGCACTGCTTTAGTGCCAGAAAGTAAACAAAAAATATGATACATCAAACTAAAAATAATCTACAGTCACCATGTTTCGAATTGAACTTAGTTTGGGAACAAATGTGCTTTAGTTCATAGGCTTCAGCCCTGCCTTTTTGTGGGACACAAAATAAGTTAACTTTTCTGTTTACCTGAAAGACGTACAAAGTATTGCTTTTGTTATTCCATTGCTTAACACAGATGAAATTACCTGCTATCTCACACAGTATTCTATTCTACCCTGCTATATGTAGAGCACTGTCCTGGGAACACTTTGTTATGCATGAATGGACCCAGCATCTTTGGAAACTTGTCTGACGTACATTTCTCATGGGACCTGTTTTTTCCCCACGCAGAATGCTGACTGCTAGATTCACGAAGAGTCCTTTTCTTCAAACTGTCCTCATTGTACGTCTGAATTACTGCAATATTTCTTGTACCTGCGCTAGATGTGACTTGTAACCTCAAATGTATTACATGTTCTCACTGGCTTACTGCATATCTATTACTTATTTATTATTAATTATTTGTATGCTGTAAGCTTTGCTGGGTATGGATGAATGAGTAAGCATCCTAACGTACTTGTGCATAGAAATAAAACATCTTGAATCTAATGTATTGTTCCAGTAAAAGTAACTGCCCTATTTACTACCTACAGCTGAGGCATCAACACACATTGTCACTATAGAATAGTTATACTTTATTAATCCCTGAGGGGGGGGGGGGGGGGTCACAGTGCAGCGCATAAGGGTCTAGTTCAAAAGGCCCATAGGCATTTGAGTATTTTGTCGGGGCTCGAACCAGTGGCCCCCCAATCAGAGACACAGAGGTTTAGCTCACTGAATCACATAACACCCCCTAGAGCTGATCCATCTTCATTCTTCACTGACATAATTTGTGTGTTTCACGGTGTGAGTTTGAAATATTTATCTATTTTGTAGATTAGTGGTTCAAGAGGAAACTGCACATATCATGGTCTGGGGAATATTAGACTATTAGTACTCTATGTTAGACTATATTAGTACTCGATACTCATAGTTGTCCTGCTGAATGCTGAAGAAATGGGCAGGGGCACCGATCTCAGTGATTTTGATAGTAGTCAAATCATTATGGCCAGACGACTGGGTTGGAGCAGTTCAGAAGCAGCACGGCTTGTGGGGTACTCTCAGTCAGCCATGGTGAGTACCTTGTACTCTCAGTCAGCCATGGTGAGTACCTTGTACTCTCAGTCAGCCATGGTGAGTACCTTGTACTCTCAGTCAGCAATGGTGAGTACCTTCTGAGAGAGGTCTGAGGAGGGAATAACCACAAACCGCAGACAGGATGCTGGGCAGCCAAAGCTCATCGATATGAGATGTGAACAATCCTGTGAGGTACAAACCAACAGAAGGGCTACTGTGGCACAAATGGCAGATAATCTTACTGATGGTCATGGGAGTAACATGTCACTACACACAGTACATCAAGTCCTGCTGCATACGTGTTCCACTGTGTCTACAAATAGGTGGTCACCATACCCACCATCAGACAGTCATTAAAAAAAATCTTCCATTTTAATCAGAATGTCACTGATGTTGCATCATATCTGTGACACCAGTGACTAATATTATACAACAAATGTGTACTTCTTTTGTGGAATGAAGGTTAAAATGTGCAGTAATTTTTTGTCATAACAGCTAAAATGCACAGAAAAGAAATATGCATTTGCGTTATTACCATCACAGTATATCGCTTTATATAGTTCCTTCATCAGTGTTTTTAAATTTGTGAATAGTACAAATAAAATAGTGGCATCATTGAGTGCCAAAAAGCAAGCAACTGTACTCATACTCGGCCTGAAGAAAATGGTATCTGTGCATTTCTAATTTTTATGAAAGAATCATATTAAAGGTGAGTAAAACTAGTGTGTAGTTCCACTGATTTTTTTTAAGTTCAGTAACACCTACCCCCCCTTAATTTACTTCACAAAAAATAACTGTACACGAAGGGCAGATTCGGGTAAGGTGGGCAGGTTCTATTCAGGGATAAACCAGACTCATAGTCAACAGCCCAATTCCAAGCCAGAAAAACCCAAAACAGGATCCGAATCATAATCCAAGCTGTAGTCGAGGGGTGAACGAAGGTCAGCCAACAAGCATTGGTCAGCAGGAGAGCAAGACGGAACCAGTGATTGGTAAGCAGGCGGAGGTTGGGTGATGTTCGTAGTCAGGTAAGTAGGGCTGGACGGGTCAGAAGACTGGCAGACAGAATAGAGAAACAGGAAGCACTCGAATTCAGATAAACCTGGAACATCTTGCGTCTGGCCGGAGTATCAGACGGACAGAAATAGATAAAACAACATGAAAAGACAGATTTCAGCTGGGAGGAGGCATAGTCCTTAAACAAGTAACACCGGCAAGGGAAACCACAGACAGGATGAGGATGGGACTCTGTAATCAGAAGGCTTAGACAGACCGGGATTCCCTCAGAGGTGTGGCCATTGTGATGGGGATTACCTGTGATGTCACACAGGGATCCCTGGGACTGAATCCAGATAGTATCCCTGCTCCCGAAGACTGCAGGCGATCCAGATTCCCGGGCTGATCGCGGCGAAAAGCCAAGATGAGAGAGGGGTCCAAGATGTGCCTAACCGGTACCCACGAACATTCTTCGGGATTGTACCCCTCCCAGTCCACCAGGTATTGCATCCCCTGGCCCCTGCAACGAACATCCAACAAATGATGGACCTCGTTGATGAGTCTAGGTGGCAAGGGAGGCAGAGCAGGAGAGGCCAGCAGACTATCCGCATGAGGTTTTAGAAGGGAAACATGAAATACAGGTTGAATCCAGTGCATGGTGGCCGGGAACTTAAGGCGTATTGCAGAAAGACAGACAATTTTAGATTTAGAGAGTGGCCCTACAAAGCGAGGAGCCAACTTACGTGACTGAATGCGTAAGGGGAGGTCTCTTGTGTTCAGCCAGACCTTCTGGCCCACCCATAGAGGAGGTGCCCGGTAGCGACACTGATTTACATACTTCTCCATTCTAGCCCGTGAGTGTAACAAGGCCTCTCAGGGCAACCTCTAGGTCCGGAAGCAACAATATAGGAAACATTGGACAGACGGGACGGCCACCGCCTCCTCCAGGGACAGGAACAATGGCGTCTGGTACCACGAACAACACTGGAAGTCCTGTGGATGACACTGGTAGCAAGTAGAGGGCGTATTTAGCCCAAAGACGGTAGATATTCCAAGTCACTGCCTTACATAGCCCTTTTATATTTATCTTTAATTCAGTTTGTTAAACTTTATTGCATAGTCTCAAGACAAAATCAGGGTACATTTCACAACATGTTATGCAGTTGTAACTGTGTAGGTGACAAATAAAGAATCTTGAATATAGATGGTGATTGGGAGGCCAGCAACTGCAGCATTCTCTCCAGATCCTGCTTTACCTTCTCAGTCTGTCCACTGGACTGGGGATGGAACCCTGACGAGAGGCTGGCCGCGGTATTGATTACCTTGCAGATCTCCTGCCAGAATTGGGAGATAAACTGTGGTCCCCTATTGGAGACAATATCAACAGGCAGTCCATGTCGAACACATGCTTGAGTAACAGCTGTGCAGTCTCTTTAGCAGAGGGCAATTTGGAAGTAGGGACAGAATGGGCAGCTTTAGAAAATAGGTCTGCAATGCAGAGGACCCACAAGAACCCACGAGAGGGGGGAAGACCTGTTACGAAATCCAATGCCATATGAGATCAAGGGCGACTCAGAATGGGCAGGGGTTGTAGGAGACCTGCCGGTGCTTGAGATAGGGTGTTGTTCTGGGCACAGATAGCATAATCAGCCACAAAGCTGCAAATGTCACGGAGCTTTGAGGGCCACCAGAGCTCAAGTGTATTGTAATCCCGGGAGACAGGCTAAAGGGGTGAGTGCCCCCACTGGAGAGTCAGGAACGAA